GCCGCTCCGCCTTCGCCCGCGGTCGCGAGCGCGCAGCACCGGCTCCCAGCGGCCCCACCCAGGTCCTGCATCCTCGGGGTGACCGTCCAGCTCACTCAGTGCCCAGAAAAGCTGTTCTGATCCGCAAAGCTGACCGTGCTGCCTGGGCCCCTCTTTGCAGTGGGGATTGTTTTTTGCAAGAGCGGAGGCCTGGCCACCCCAGCACAGACATCACTGGGTCCTGCGGACCCATCTGTGCCGCTGCAGGGCGCTCAGTCGCCTTCCCTGCAAGGATAGAGGGGCCGCAGAAGACGAAAGAAAGCTGCCGTATTCTCGTAGACCCCCTTTCCTTACATAATGTCTGTAGGAAAAGGAAGGGGGAAAAAGTAGAAGCTGGAGGCGTCCTGGTAGGATGGTGGAGGAGAAACTGGGGGATTGTTCCAGGAAAGGGCGCCAAGGTGTGCTGATAGTTTCGTTGCTCCGAGCGCATTTTGGGGGTGCTTATTGCTTTATCTCTCTTTGAGGTAGGTAGGCATCATCAACCCATTTTGCTGTTGAGCGTTTGGAGGCTGAGGGAGAAAGAGGAACTCCCCCACGGTCACCCTGCTGGATGTGAACAGAGCCAGGTTTTGTGCATCTGTCCTAATGAATTTCTCACAGTACAGGTGACAATAGAGACACGTGGAGACAACGGGCCAGGACCTGGGTTCCAAGTGGAAGCCTCAGCCCTTTCTGCGGTCTCTGCTGCCAGAGGAGCCCGAAGGAACCAAGGGAGGGGCCTGGCAGGAAGGGAACCACACCCTCTGATCTTGACATAGGACACTCCTCACATGGGCATGGGTCAAGGTCCTCAGGGAAGGGGGGATGGGTGGAGTACATGGGGTGATGATGGAAGAGAACATGTTCTTAGAATTTGCCCTGGGCCAAAATTTTCTAAGTGGCACCTTTGAACGCTATAAAAGAAAAAAATCCTCAAAACTCACTTTCTCTGGGGTTAATCATTCACTCTCTCCATAGGCCAGATGACCTTTGCCATGTGGTTGGGGTTTTGTTTGCTTTTCTTAAAAGTCCTGGAGTTTGTAATTGGACCAATGTCCTCTCAGGGAGGAAGAAAGGAATTTGGGGTCCAGGACAAAACTTGGTTTTCTTCCTGCCCTCCATCTTCCAGGAATTCGGAAACATTTTCTCAGTGAGAGTGGTTGTTTTTTGTTTTCATTTTTAAATATATCTTTATTTCTCAAACCCAAAGCTTTATTGCATCAAGTTCTAACACATTGTGCGTTAACAAGTGATTTCTCCTGCATCACATAAGAAGGTCAGGGACCATTACACCAAAGAGGAAACCTCACACATCCTAGGCACCACTAAGAAATTAGTATTTCAAAGGCTATGCAAATATAGAATGGAAAAAAAACTTCCAACTTAGTCTAATTTGTATCTTTTCATCTATAGTAATTTGGAAATTAGTGGGTAAAAACTTAATTTTCCTAAAGCAGCTTTTTTTTTTATTCATTAAAAAAAAATAACAGCTGGCTTGAGTTTTAAAACACCCACAGATCCACATAATTTAACAACTTCCTCTTTAGTGAATGGTCTTCTCACCTCCTGTGCAAACACACATGAACAGTCTGCACCGACTCAGGACTCAGAATGAATTGACTGTCAATAGCTGTGGCCCTGGGGAGAAGGGTGCTACGTGGAGGAGACCCTAGGAGGCAAAGCACACCAAAACCAAAAAACAGATCAAATCCCAGCCACCACCCATCCTGCACCTGATTCCTTTTAGGAGCTTTCTCTTATCTGGGTGGCAGCTGAGATGACCAACAGAGATCATTTTCTGTTTCCTTATCCTGGTCCCCTAATCAGCTTTGCACTTCGAGGCAAGATCAGCTCAGGGTTGTTCTATTTTAACATTCCAATCACCTAAAAGCTCACTGACCTCCCTTAAGAATCAGGGAGGGCAAATTCGCTGTGTGACCTTGGGCAAGCGACTCAACCTTTCTAGGCCTCAGATTCCCCTTCTGTAGAGAGGGGTGCTCCGAAGTCCCCTCCAAGGCCAGTGCTCTGCACCCTTCAATCCGGCGGGTGGCCGTAAAAGGCTCCCCAGCTCTGTTCCACTGACTATTTTTGGCTCAGTGATTAGAGGGCTTGTGGGCCACACCTAGATCTCTGACATTCTGACAGCTGGCTGGACATTTGTCCTAGATATCCTGCTGGGCCTGCAGCCTTCACACGCACCAAGCAGACGCAGTGTCCCTCCCCTCTGCCCCTCGACTCATCCCAGCCTAACCCCTCTGACTTCCCCTTGTCCCTCCCTGGCCCTGGAGCTGGGGGTCGATAGCGTCTTTGCACCTTGCAGTCCTTCAGTCTCCATATTCCTTCGGTTGCTGAGCCCTGAAGAGGCTGGTCTTGTATGAAGTGCCCCTCTTCTCCATAGTCCCCAGACTTCCACCCATTCAGGCCCTGGCACCTCCCACAGGGGGGCTTGCTCCTCCTGCCCCGGCACCCCCAACAGCCCCCCTGCTCTCACCCTCCTCTCTACCCTGATGGACTGTCACTACAGGGTACCACTGGCCCACGACTCTGGCCAGCCTCTCCCACTACAGACTTTTGAATGGTTTCCTGGGCCCAAGTGAACAAACTGACATCTGGGGCTGCCCACGATAGAGGCCCAACCTAATGTCCCCTCCACACGCCCCCTGCGCTTCAGCCCAGCTCAGCGTCCCTCACATAACCAGCTGTTCTTTTTTTTTTTAAAGAAAATTTTGTTTAAATTATTTATTTGGGGAGAGGGAGGTAATCACATTATTTATTGATTGATTTAAGGGCAGTACTGGGGACTGAACCCAGGATGCTAAGCACGCACTCTCCCACTGAGCTACCCCTCCCCCTCACAGGAAGTTCTAAATACTTACTGTGCATCCAACGTTGTGCCAGACACTGTTGGACTACAAAGGCTTTACAATTATTTATTGATTCCACTAGACAGTTATTTCCAATATATTTTCTTAAATTTTGCACCCCATCAGTAAAATTTTTCAGCATACATATCCAGTATATACATATATATGTTTATTATTAACAAACTTTACATATGTACTGTTGTAGTAGCATATTCCTAATTATAAAGCATACACAAAAAAGACATTTTAAAAGGGTGATAAACATAAAATTAACAGCATTTAGAAAATAATTGTATTTACCACTGAGTTATACTCTCCCCCCGTCCCTCCCCCCACAGCCAGCTGTTCTTTGTCCCCCACACTCTTCCTGTTCTGTCTGGAACACACACAGCTTCCATACCTGCCCATGAAAAACGACTTCTTCACCAGGGCAAATGATCTTTCTTCCTTGAAACTTTCCAAGAGGTCCCCATGAAGGATCAATTTCTCATGGATTCACTGGGTCACCAAACATTTATTGAGTGTCAGCCGTGCAGCAGGTTCTGTTCCCGGCCCTGAGAATTCAATGGCAAATAAGAGTGAGTTCCTGCTCACAGAGAGCTCACTGTTGACGGTGACAGAACACAGACGAGAAAATCTGAGATGCTAATAATTACAATGGAAGAGTTCTTGGCGTCCCTGGCTTTGATTACAGTCTACTTGTAACATGCTTATTCTTGAACAAATACTGCCTTGTAAACCCTCTGGAGGAAGAATCTGAGTCTAATTTATCTTTGGAACCTCCAGGATGCCTAACATCATCCCATCTGTGCGGTGGTCCCTAGGTGTGTGTTTGTGAAAGGAATGAAAGGAAGAAAGCAGGAAGGGAGAAAGACAAGGATTTGGAAAACATTTAACAAAGACCCCTGGCCAGCAGTGGAATGCCTGTTAGTAGATTTATTTATTAAACTCAGAATCCATTCTTATCTTGCATTTGTCAACCTTGCAATCCCTAGAGATGGCTTTTGGTGTGAGACCTTCACTCCAGCTAGGAGAGGTGACATAGGGCAGGGGAAGGGCACTGCGCCAGACCCAGGATTTTGTCCCTGCCTCAGCATGTAATTGTTGAGAGCTTTCGAGCAAGTTCCTTAATCTCTCTGAGCCTTAGTTTCCTCAAAATGGGATCATAAAACCT